GGAGCGAAGAGATGGAGATTCGGGACTTTATGTGTGGACTGTGTGACTGCATTCAGATGGTTGATATTTGCCGTTCTCTTGTAAATTTTTGTTGATGTCTAACTCCATGCTTAGTCTCTTAGTTTGTTCCCAATTTGTTTTAATTTACTTTTGTTCAACGATCTTGACTTCTTATGCCAATTGTGGGAGCGGACATTTGATTTATCCTACACGAAACGAGTACAAGTATGTGCTCTTTGTTATTTATTCTCATAGACCTGCACGCGTTTTAGGAAATCTGAGATATAGATAGGACTACGAGGGAACCGGCTGAGAATCCGACCAAATCACCCTTGAATAAATAACGAATGCATTTCAATTAAACACAATACTTTAACCCAAATCTCACGAAAGGTACATTGAGTTTTGTGGCTGCAAACCAACGTTAGTACAACGAGAAACATTTGAAAGGGATCTGCTACGTCGTTGACGTAATAGCCTCATCTTCGTTCTCTTTTTTTACATTGCTTCCAGACGCGTCTTCCATCTAGAACAGGGGACAATGACTTAACATCTACTTACGCCTCGTAGACGCTTGAACGCATTTTGGAACATTTTCTTCTCCTGTTGAAGGGCTTTTGAAATTGTATCCTGACACAATTTTAACTTTTGAACTGCTTCCACATTTTTCGGATTAATAGAAAGCACCTCTTGAAAACAGTTAGACGCTTCTTCGTGATCACCAAGAAGAAGGTACGCCTCGCCTTTTCTGTAAAGGCATTTCTCATTGCGCGAATTAAGGTCGAGACCTTGCTTGCAGGCCTCAAGGCACTCTTGAGGTGATTTTAGTTTCAAAAAGGCATATGCCTTGTTCTGATGCAAAACGCATTTAAAATTATTTAATTCTGCATGCTGTTCATAACCGTTGGTTGGAACACCGAGGCAGTCACTTAGTAGATCTGAGTACATGTCGACTGCTATTTGATATTTTCGAGCCTAAGATACCAATAAAAAAACTAGAAAGAAACAGACTTTGATAAACTCATTGGCCTTTTGTTTTAGAGACTGCAGATGCTCCATCTTTTCATGAAAGGTTGCAAATACCGCCGCACTCTTTCTTTGTTCGCATGATATGATCTTCACGAGGTAGTACAAAATAGAATTTTGGGGTATACCGCGCGTCGTGGATTCACATGGCGTGAAGGTCATAGGTCCACAGATCCTGACTCGTGCCTCTTCTCCCTCGCTCATATAGCATAGGGCACGGTCAAGACCCTCAGGAAGACCAACTTCCTCAAAGTCACCAATTACAAAACAAACATCGCGATCCTCAAGCACTTTTCCACCACAATAACCCAGAGCATGAATTTCACACATAGATCCGGGTCGTGGAGAGTTGGCTTCATTACCATGCGTCAGCTGGGTCAAGTAAACAGACCCATTAAACTTCGGGCTTACATCCCTGCCTGAGACGGCGAAATTACAAAAGACGCTTCAGGATACCATAAAAGTCCAGCAATTCAATTTCAAACCGACGAGTCTTTTTGTCTTGGTAACCATACTCCGAAGACACTATTAGCTCGCACATCTCACCAAGCTTCATCGTAGGTATAGCGATATCCCACCCCTTGATTACATGACCTTGGAGAAATTAGCAATTTTTAATACTTACCCTGTTCTGATTCATACTTGAGTGGCTCATTTCGGTCCCGACTTGAGTCAAATTTAGTTCCATCTTCGTCTCCGCCATGATAGAAGCCAACGTAATGCACTACGACTGTTTCACCTTTAACTGGAGAGATGTCTGTATGTCCACTCTTAATAACCTTCTTCAAAACACCTCCGTCGCTAACGAGACTAGTGAAATCCACAAATTCAGATTCAGCCTCAGACATTCCGGAACAGACTACTAGAGAAATGACTATTACTCATTAAATGTTGTCTAAAGAGCACAACCTTGAAGTTGACGAATCGTAGAAATCAGCATCCGCGATATTGCCATCGCATTAATTTTAGAAAAGTTGCTTTTACTCAAATTACGTTTTGTGAATCACATCTTACAATTAAAAAGTTTAAAAATTGTAAAAATGCTGTTTGCAAAATTATTCTTTGCAGAGCCTAGGCAAAGCAGACAAATATTATAGTTATTATATTTAATGTGCTGCAGCAGCAAAGGTGAGTCGCTTGATAAGAAAAATTCGGCGTCCATGAATTGCTAACGTATAAGAATTAGGCCAGATGATGCCAAGCAAAGAGGTATGGATTTGCAATTGCTTACGCTGACATTATATTAATAATCTGGTATTTATCTTACGTCAGGATTTGTAACACATGCAACTGTAACCTAAGGAATATGTCTGAACACATCCCTACAATTTTTTGATTTTACAGCACCGTTTTAACTTTGACCTATCACTTTTGACGCATTTGACCTTACTTTCCATGCGCGTATGTGGGTTTCGTTTTGATTTTGGCCGAATGTACATGTCGGAGCTACCCAAATTATCCTATGAGGTAGAGGTCTAACACTGATCATTCCGTAGGAACTTTTGACCAGAAATGCTATGTTAGAGAGGCAAGTTGCTGAGTTACGTGGACAAATAGATACCCGCGGTTTAACCAAACTGAAGACACCAAGGCGACCACTGGATTTCACTAAGTATGTCGAGTTATTTTTTATTTTGAGATTTACAAAGCGTCGAGTTGCTCTTAAGATCTTGTATTTGGGTTGGGATTATTGCGGGTTAGCTCGTCAGGAAATCACTAAATGCACTATTGCGGAAAAACTGATTGAGGCCTTTATGAATTGTCGATTGATCGAAGAATCTAGTGACATTCGATTCGCTGTATGTGGACGCACAGACAAGGGAGTTAGTGGCTTTTCACAGGTCGTTGCCTTAACGCTGCGTTCAAATGTCCACGATGGTGTTGGTGTCATTGCTCCTGACGATACTAGCAAGTTGTGTAAGCTTTTCCTTACGTCTGCCTTGCTTTAGAATATTATGAGTTTCGCATTAGTAATTGCTTGCAATTTTGTAGATCCTCCAAAACCGGAAATCGATTATGTGCTTATTGGAAACAAAAATCTGCCGCCAGATATTAGGATACTTAGCTGGAGTCCAGTGCCCCTTGACTTCAGTCCTAGGCGGGATTGCATCAGTCGTTCCTACAAATACTTCTTTCCTGCTGTAGACTTGGATATTGAATGCATGCGTTTGGCCGCTTCAAAACTGATAGGCCATCATGATTTCCGTAACTTCTGCTCCTCTCAGGTTGCTAATGGAGTCCTTAACCACGAACGTACTATTTTCAAGATCGAGATTTTTGACAGCGATGCCGATAAAACGTGAGTATAGAATTTTCTGGGTCCTCGAAGTAGTGGACTTGAATAATGAGTCGATTTGTGTGCCTGCTTTGAGTTTTTTTGATGCTTTGTAACGTACTCAGGAATTTTCGGCGGCTTTGCTGTCTGAACATTCGTGGAAGCGCATTTCTTTACCATCAAATCCGCTGCATTGCATCTCTTCTCTTTGCCATTGGGCGACGACTTGAACGTCCAGAAGTGTGTCGACAGTTCTTCTTTACACATTTATGATAGGTCATTGACGCTCTGCTTGATGTGCAGAAGATGCCAGGAAAACCGCATTACCAAATGGCGGAGGGTAATCTCAATTATCGCCCTTTATAACGTTTACACATTAGCGGAACCCCTTCTATTTTTCGAGCCAGAGTTCGAAAACATGAATTGGCAGTCAAGTCTGGGTAAAATTTTTCGCATTGTCTATTATTACTTATTAGCTGCCCAGGATGACGTATTGAGGAGCTTGCAGACTTTGTGGACGAAGCATGCAATAAGGTGACCGCAGTTAGATTTTTACAAACAGCACTACAACATGACGTATGACCTCAATAGAAGAGGATATATTTTTATTGAATAATCTTTTAACATTCTAGGTCGCATATAGTTGAGATCATGCTGAAATCAGTTGAAAGTGAGTCTACCCATTTTTGATAGATTAAAATGAGGCAGCAAGGTAATTGCCGTGGTTCCATCTAAAGATATGTTTCCGGATCGACGCCAAGAGCACTATTTTGCAGCTATATCGCGTGAGGCACCCTCGTCAAAGGAATTTAAACGCAAATCAATTTTGGAGCGTCCCACTGATGATGCGCTTGAAGAGAAAGTAAGGAAGGTAGAAAACCGAGTGAGTAAGAATGAGTGTGATGTCACAAACTCGTAACAAACATTTAGTCGTGTTGTTACATTTTCTTTCGTTGGGAGGGCAAGCTGCGGGTGGCACGTCTTACTGGTCATCAGGTTGTTTGTTGCAGTAAGTAGGCGACGGGGGTGAAGCCCATAGTCGGGGCGGTCGGATCTTGGGATTCCGCGCTTTTGGGGTTCTGTGGGAGGACTCGGCGGATGTGGTGTTAGTCGTGTATAATGGCTGGGAAAGAGTAAATCGAGTGGGGTTGGGCGACGGGGCGTGATGGGATGTCGCTTGTCTGATCATCCTGGACAATGTTGGTTAGATGATGTTTTAATTAATCTTGTGTAAACATATGATTTATTTTTTGATTTAAAAAAGAAAAAATCGTTAAATTTTTAAACGAAAATTTTGATTTGATATAAGGAGTACATCATACAAATGCTTTATATACACTTGAATAATAACATTCGCAAGCTCCGCATAATTTAACTCGTGAAGCGAATTCCTCGGCTCAAGTTACCGTTTTGTGGTTTGTCAGGTTGCGTATATTCTACGATGGCTTCCGCAGAAAACATTGATCAGGACATTAAGATATTTTATAAAAAACTGTTTCCTTGTGATTTGCTTTGCAAATGGTTGTCTTGTGGATCTAAACAGCCCTTTGAAACGGTAGCAGTGCAATGGGCATGTTAATTCGACCATGATAGCTTTCTAGGAGGGAGTTCAGTTTTTCATTTGCTGGTGATGTCTATCTCCGATATCAAAGCTTTGGTGATCCCGCTTCTTTTCGTTCAGAACTTGTGAGAACATGTCCAAACAAAATTGACATCGGAGCTGTTTATAGTGCTCCGCCGCGGCTGCAAAGATCTCTGTCGTCCACCACTTTTGTTGTATGGGCTTATTTTGTATCTTTGCACTTATAAATCGCTTTATCACATTCTCTTCTTGAGGATATGTTTCTACTGCGGGTTTTTTGGCGAGACATGTTTTTCTGATTTTGTTGTTTCAATCTTAATTAAGACAGTTCTTATTTTATGTCTAATGACTCATGTGTTCTTAAACACTTTATAATAGTAGATGGTTTTTCCCTAGCCCGAATGGAAGGAGTTGGTTTTTGATATTGACTTAACCGACTACGACGACATACGTTTTTGTTGTGGATCTGCAAATCCTAACGCAAAGACTGCAGTGTGCCATCGCTGTTGGGAATTGGCCAAATGTGCTGTTATATGTTTGGAGCGAGCTTTAAGATGCGATTTTGGCTTTGAGCACATTTTGTGGGTTTACTCTGGACGGAGAGGTGTACATTGTTGGGTTTGTGACCCCGTCGCCAGACATTTGGACTCAGCTGGTCGATCGGCAGTTGCAGAATACTTAACCTTTGTCCATTCGAGTGATGCGCGGAAGGTAATATTAAATTTTGGTGATGGGACTCTTGATACTCTAGCAGAAACTGAAAATTTCGTCACTTCCGGAGCCATTACTTCATCCATCTGTTGAGGCCGCTGCAGATACGTTAGATTCACATTTTGTGAAATACTGCGCGTCTCAGAATCTTCTGAACTCCCACTTTCCTGATCGAGTGAAATTGATGCTCCAACACCTTCCCCCTGATTTGGATTCTCAACGGAACGTTCTCTTCGACCAATGGGCTAACAGGGAGGAAGACAATTCTGATTCGACTGTAAAGCGTTGGAACACTTTGAAGTGTTTCCTTCAATCGGAGAAGCGCGATAATGTCATCAAAGATATTATTTTGAATACCGTTTATCCCAGACTCGATACTAATGTCACAAATGGTACGTTTTACGTTCTCTCCAATGCTATGCAAACTTTTATTTGTCTTGAGTTTACTCCAAATCCTTTTCTCACCAAATTCGTTCTGCTTTTTAAAATTTTCTTTCACGTACGCACAATTCTTTGTGGTTGTTTTAGGTTTTGGTCATCTCTTAAAGAGTCCATTTTGTGTCCACCCGAAGACCGGCTTTATCTGCGTTCCTATCGACTCTCATCTCATTGAGTCATTCGATCCACTGACCGTGCCTCGGTTAAATGAGCTTGTATCTCAACTTTCGCAGGCAAATACTCACAACGAGGTGGCCTCTCAGCATCTACTGGCGTACAAACATACCACACTTCGTCCTTATGTTGAATTCTTTGAAAGATTTGTCGATCGACTCTCCGCATCTATGCAGCTGACTTCGAAGTCTGAAAATGATGTTGACACCACCGGGATTTACGGTGGGATACCAAGTCTGGAGGTTGTCTAACTGCCTTCATGACGTATGATATAGGCTAACTATTAAACAGTAAATGCATACACAAAAAAACTATGTTTATTAGAAGGTTGTCCCTACTTTGGTTTTCTTGTACTTACAATTTCGGAAGTGAAATTAGCTCTGCGTCGTATAGCTTTCGTCTATGATTTCTTTTAATGGACAGGATTTAAGTATTAATGTTAGTTTGCGGTGGTCCAAGTAGTCGTTGCAGTTATTTAAGGCGGAGATGAATCCAGTTCTTTTACCATGGTTGATGTGTGTGGAAAGTTCAATCGTGATAAATTCATCCGGTTGTTTCCAGTGGTTTTATTTTTGATAAACTGAAAATTAACAAATCTGAGGGCTCTTTTTAGTCTCTTTCCTCACTAAACACATTCTACAAGTGCAACGTCAGTGAAGTGGTTTTAACTCACCTCCCCTAGTTGTCTAATGGCACCATTGATTATTATATTTTCTCGAATGTTTTCCCTTGAAAGGATTTTTCTGCAAAAGTCTAATTTCTTTGCTGCATCCCTGTTGCAATTACCAGTCAAAAGGACCTTCGTAAAGCAGCGATAGGCTTCTTTGTAATCGTTCTTCATAAGGTACGCCAACCCTTGTCGGTATAAGCATTTTACATTTTCTGGGTCCTTTTTAATGCATTGGTCACAAATTTCTAAACACTTATCGGGTTTGTTCATTTTAAGAAAACAAAGAGCACAGTTTTGGAAGGCAATACGACAAAGGTAATGGTACTCGTTATTGTCATAGAGGATGTATGCTGATTGGACAACCCAGTTGTACATATTTTTCGCCAAAGTATACTTTCCAGCCTAAATCGCATAGAAAGTTTTAGTCTAATGCCCACCTTAAAATACTCGTTTGCCCTATTTTTTACACGCAAAAGGATATGAAAATTCTCCTTATCACCAGCATACTTGTCTGGCCCATTGTAAGATCCATCAAAATCCACAGTTATTCTATACCACAAAATTGCACCTTTCGGCAAGTTAATCGCTTCGGAGTTCACATTTGTAAATGATAAGGGTCCATGCAGTTGACACAGATGCTCACTTCCCACATTGAAAGTTGGGAGAATCTCATAGAGGCTCTCCGGTAAACCAAAATTATCAAAATCGCCAAATAAAATGGTAACATTTCGACGATCGAACAAGACCTCATTGTAATATCCTTCTAAAGAAATCGTCGTAATTTCACCAGGAATGGGGGCAAAGTCGACTCCACTCTTAATGGTGGAAACTAAAACGTTTGAGCCCTCGTACGACGAGCATGCATACTCTACAAAAAATCTAAAATAGTTGGTAACGAGGGTTTTACCACAAAAAGCAATTAATTCTATTTCATATCGGCGAATTTGCGAGTCATAATAACCGTAATCAGGATAAGCCACAATCTCACAAACTTCTCCAAGTTTCATTGTTTGGATGGCAACATTAAAAGCCTTAATTGGGTAATCTAGACTCCAAAAGGCTAATATGATTTGCCTCACCATTACAAAGCGGAACGCAAATGGGTTTCTCTCTTGCACGACTAGAGTCAAAGATTTGTCCATGTTTTTCTCCAAAATGGTACCGGCCAACGTAGTGAATGCATGCGATATCTTTGCGGTGCGGCGAAAAAGGAGAACGACCTTTTTTGATTATTTTTTTCAAAACGCCACGATCGCTAACAATACTGAAGTAGTCATCATAGGAAATGGTATCATCGACCATTATTAACGGCCAGAGTGAATTACCGCGAAAAACGGTACGATATTTGAATTCGTTATAGTCTAACAATATAACAGTTTCTTTGCCAAGGGTGGGTTGAAAACACTTATTCCTAGGTCACAATTCACACTAAATCACGAAAAATATGAAAAAGTTTTTAGTTTGGTTAAAAAATGCTTGTAATTATTTTTAAATATTAAAAAAAAAATTTTTTTTGAAAAAGGTTATTTAATACTTTTGATTTAATACTATTACTACTATTTGTAGTAGGGTATGGGATTTGTCTGTCTGCGCGCCTAGTTCCTTCCTATTGTTTGTTTGCTTTGGTGAGTTTTGTGAGAATTTCATTCTACTATCTAAGGAAGTTTAGCGACCGCCATCGAACTCTTGAATGTGGGCATATAAATTTTCTTTTCGAAAACTTTACAACCGCGTGTTATATGTAACTGGTCTCTACATATGCGACCCTTGGGAGCAGCGGGTGTGTTGTATCCTTTTAGCGTTGTTGACTTGTTTTAGCTCTTAGGGTTCTTTTGATTTCAATGTGGACAATGATTTTTTTTCGGGTAGTTAACATTGGCGTTGCAGGCTCAGTGAAAATTTTGGGGTGCGACTAATTCATCAATGTGTTTGTGTTTTTCTTTTTATGGTTACGCATTTGGATAGTTTTATTAGGTTAGCGTGTTGCCAAATCGTTGATTTCAATTTGTTGCTATTCTTAGATCTTTTCCTTAATGTTGATTTCCAGTTTCACTGATGGTTTGTTTTTTTCTGGTTCTGTTACTGTCTGCATTGGTTTTTCTACCTTCTGACGCTATGGCCTTCTATTCGTATGTTCAAAAACGTTTTTCTCACAATACTGTCTCTGGATCTTGATTGACTACCTTTTTTTCTTAACCTATTGCTATCTTTGTTGTGATGCAATACTTAAACGAATTTTAATAATTTTTGATAACATCGGTGCGCTGTATTAACTGACCCACAATTCCAGCTTAGCCTTTGGACGTTGGTAACGCGATGTGTGTGCCTCTTTAACTTCGCCTTAATTGCAGACGTTTTGCTATGGACCAAATTCTATAACTTAAACTCCTTCCTGAATACACTCTTTGGACATTTCACTTGGCACCGCCGCAAAGCAAACCTAGTGTTTAGGCAACAGTTATTCTCCTTCGTTGGACTAACTACGATGACGTTAATGACGAGCAACTACGTCTGATGTAAACTTGAAAATCTCTACCGTAGAAGGGTTTGGAACTTGCGTTTAGTTTTCACGTTAGTTCTATTCTCGTAGTCTGTTGGAAAGCTATTTAAAGTAGCTTGGACATTGCAGATAACCACGTAAAGAATTTGTGATTCGGGGTTTCCATTTCCATTATCCATGTTAGGTGTGGCATAACGTTGCGCCCATCTTCTTAGACAACTGTGCATTATCGGCTTTTGTCATGCGCGTTTGCATTAGAACACGGTGCCTATGTCACTCCGTGTGCCGATTTGGTGTTCAAGGCAATTTTAGCTTCTGACTCCTAATGTTTGTCGGAACCGCATTTTGGAGATGTTGAGAAGGTTATATGCATTCATTTTTTTGGTTGTTGGACCGTGAATTTTATTTCGCAGTGTCTAGTATGTTTAGGTGGACAATGCAGGACGTGAATAAAGAAAAGCGTAGAGGGCGTTGATCAAAATTAGGTAAGGGTAATGTAGTGTTTAGATCGTTCGATTGCCTGCGTGGATGGGGGCTACGTGCGATGGCAACGTAATGATTTCATTGTAGTTGGTGGACGAAACCTTCGAAAAGATATGGATTTCCTTGCGAAGTGGGAAGGGGTAGTATTTTTGTTTCGAATGCTTAATTTCCTATTACGGAAGAAGCTAAGTTCCGGCAACGGTCAAGCGCTGATCCACGCAGTTGAGGGCTGAAATGTGTGGTGAGCGCTGCAGTCATTCGCCTATGAGACTTTCGGCAGTCACTTTGGAATTCGTCTGGCGTTGATGCCCGTGTGCTGTCCTTCGGCTTTGTCGCCTTTGGTAGTTATATATCCAAATTCACTTGCTGCCGTCTTCCATCTTGGGTGGAATCTCAGGACGATACAAACGCTAGCCATAAAAACAGCAAAATATTTAAAATTAGAACCTACTTAGGATGGGAATTCAAGGAACTCCTTCAGTGGGTCCCTGATTTGGCTGGCTTCATATCCGGTGTTTGCTTTGGTGTCTTACCTCTGCTGGCTTTATTCGTAGTGCGAATATCAATGCGCTTAACTTGTCCTAAAATGGGTAGGGGGTGTTCAGTTCGCACCCATCTATCGTGCTTCAAAAGCACGAGGGTATCTCAAGGGAGTCGTGCCGGGAGGTAGTTCGAACGTTAAACGCCGCCTTTTCACTTTGCAGATGGGGTCCGTTAAATCCTTCCTAACATACGCCTATTGTAAGCTTAAGTCGTAAGCTTCTACGTAGTCAAATGCTGTATGTTCTACTAATTTATTTGCGTTTCCACATCGTCATGATACTGGGCAGTAGATGCTGAAAACTTGCATCTATAAGGAAGAAATTTATCAACTTGTGAATGAGATGATGCAGTATTTAAGATTATAAATAGTTTTGTTATTAAGTCGCAATTTACTTTTCGCTTGTTTGAATAGTTTAACGCGTTCAAGTCTAACTTGGAAATTGATAGTGAGGGGTCGTTTTGCGCGACTGATTGTTTTTGTGTTTATGGCTTTCATTAACAACCAAGAGGCCCCTTTTAACAACTGTAGATTATGTGAGCAGTCATTCGATTCGTGGCTAGAAGAGCGAATCCTCTTGCACCGAGAATCATGTTCACAGAAAAAAGTTCGTAAAATAAATTTATATTCTGAAGGCTAGGATGATGTCTAGGTGTCCTGCTTGCTTGAAAAATCTGTCAATATCTGTACATTTCCTTTTTTGTGCATATTTTAGACTGCTCTGGAACATATTAGCGCATGCGCAAAGGTTTTGGATCTTTCGCTGTATGAAATTCTTCTGTTAGGTGGGAGTGATAGTAAGATAAGGTAGTATAATTTGTGCACATTTTTTTTGTCGGAACGGTTGTTTCTCAATCACTCTGTTTAGGACAACCGGTCTGTTTCATCCGAGCGAGAAGCCTTCGTTACGTGTGCAAAAAGTAAGGAAAACGAAGAAGAAGACCTGCGAGAATCTTCCGTTTTCTACTGCGCATCTCTTGATTTCGGTGGAGCATAGGAGAGCAATATTCCTAAGTCGTCTTTCTCGCATACTTAATGTACTATTCACTCTGTAATTTCAGAATACTTTTTTGTATGATGCTTAGCATACTGTTTCCTAACGAAGGATTGTACTCAATGCGGTCAGTTTCGCTATGATAGACTCAACAATGACCTCAAATCTGACCTTTGGAAATTGGCTGCACTTACATCAAGCGCAAGCTCTTTATCGGGTCTAGAGAATTTCTACGTGAAATCGCTTTCTGCTCACATTACTCCTTCTCAAAAAAAACAAAATTTCAACCATTTACGTTTGTCACAAATACCCGGTAGAGGCTCGTCTCTACAGTTTTCGATTTGTTTTGCGCCTGAACCAATGGTATGCTTCTATTTTTGTGCATAATGCTGTGAATCCTGTTCAGTTAGTAGTAATTAATAGTTTTACATTCGAATGTCTGTACGTTTTAAGCCTTTTAGGCTCATGGGCAAGTTCTGATGTCTTTCTTTAAGGTGGAGAGGACGTTTGGGAACGGTGGAGCCCTCTTTCTGGAGATGATGTCTCGGATGGTGGATAATCCTATTTGCTCAGATCTATCCATTTATTTGGATTCTGGTGTGCGCATTTTTGCACATCGTTTCGTTTTGGCTACCTGGAATCCCGATCTATTTTTGTTGAAGGTTGTTGGGTCTTTCTGCGATCCAAGCTCCATTCAATTTTTACTTTCACTTCTTTGCTAATTTAGGAAAATACTACTTCTATCAACGCCCCCGGAATGAGCAGAGATGCATTGCTTTCGCTTCTGCGTGCTCTCTACACATTTAACTTATCGATTCTCTCCTCCTTATCTCCTGAGGCGGAGTTTACGCTTGACTGGTGGGTATTTATTTTTCTGTTCTCTTCCTGCTTAGCGTATTCATTATTTTGACTAATCCATTCGCATTTTTCAAAGTTGGCAAATGTTGGATACTGTTCGCGATAGGATTCGATCTAATGCCGCCCCTATTTTCGTGGACACTCCGAAAAGTCCAAATTCCTCAAACACTCCGGACTTATTGTCAGTTTCTTCTGACATACAAGTTGTCAGCTCTCACGAAGTCGAAGGAATTAATAGTTCAGCGGATTTATTCACATCGATGACAAACTGCTCGGCTTTACACACTCCCACGGGTTTCATAGGAAGTTCTGTAAGAAAATGCATGCGTTGCTGACAACCAGAAGGTTTTGTCTATTAGAATGTTTCTTTAGGTTGTAGCATCTCATTCGACACCTCATCACTCTTCTCAAAGCGTCGATATCCCGGGACCTTTGGACAAGGTTGGTAATCACAAATTCTTGACTTTTTTAAACATAGGTTCTTTATCGTTTTCATCCTGTATCTCTCGTTGTTAACAGTTTTTGAGGCGCCATCGACACTTCCAATTTTTTTCATTTCCTTAACAAGTCGGTTTAAATGAGTGCTGCAGTATTTACACAAGTCATCTGTTGATTCAAATTTTTGTGGCTCACACCACATAAACCCAAATTTTTTCCTATATTGTGTGCTAATATGGTGCAATAAAGGTGTCCTTTATCACTTTTTTCATGGTCGACTGTTGAACTTTTGTTGCTGCTTCCTAGTTCCAAGGATTACAAATAAACTACCCGGTAGTTGATCAACATTTTCATTCTCATTCTTGACGAACATCAGTTGGATAGCACACTACGATCCAATAATAATATATGGCAAGGGTTGTAATACTATTGGAGTGGAGAGGGGATATGGGGATTGTGTCGAGATGGTTTTCAATGTCATTTTGCATTTGAATTGGCTAACCCCTTGTGCATGTGTACGGAAGTATATATTTTTTTCTCAAGGATAGGTGCGGTACACTGTATACCAGTTTTATTTCAGCTCCCATATTTGCATTATACGCGTTAATCAGTCTTTAGACTCTTGCCCAACTTCTCCTAACAAAAGGAACGATGACATGGACCAGGAAAAAGAAGTTTTTGAAGATAACGTTCGTTGGTTTTTTCCCTTATTTTGTGTCTTGCCAATCATATTTCCTTATAAGTTAAATACTACACTATTCCTCACTTAGCAGTAACGAGAGATAATATTGCCACCTCACCTCTTAACTCCCCTCTGTGTACGAAGTGGAAACCTTATTTTAATTTTAAATGTTCTATTAATACAGATCGGCCATTCGTCTCGTCAATCGGTTGAATTCGATGTCGATCCTCCTGCTTTCTTTGCTGCGTATGACTCTCAGCCCTCCTTGCCACTTTCAGAAAAGGTAATTTAAATTTTAGTTGCTTCTACTTCTTAACACATCTTTCTCTTGCATCCTTTTTCTCCAATCATTTGAACCTTTCTAGTCACATGTGCCTTATCAAATGCCTTACGGGAAAGGAATGGCAGGCCTTTGATGTTTGAAAATCAGGGGAAACCAGTATGTATTTTGTATGTTGGAGTCGGTTCATTGTTACATTGTAGAGGGTCACCAAACAGCCAGAGGACGTTAGTCCTATGCCGCTGGAAATTACCCTCCGTTCGTCGCAATGTGCACCTTCTGACCACAGCCTCTTTTTCAAAGATTCTGTACAAACTCCCGCCCCATTGGCAAAACGTCTCCGGTCTTCTGGGGACTCAGTGGAGGTGGACACTGCCTTCTCATCCTCTTCACAGCCTATTGAAACTTCAAGTGACAAAGGCGATACAAAGAATGGTAGTAGCGATGATGACTGTCAACCATTGGCTTGCTTCTCTCAACCCCTTCCCACTGCTTCTGATAATGCGGGTCGAGTCTCTTCCGTCATTAACACGAATGTACCCATCACTCCAAAACCGGTTTTTGAACAATTCGGAACACCTGAATTGAGAGTAATTCAGTTATTTCTACTCCTCGGCCTCTTTTATATGCCTCGACCTAAAAAATGATTGCATTGTTTGTCTAGAAAGCTCTCTCTGACTACGGTGTCCGCCGTCTGCCGAAAAAGAAGGCCATTCAACTACTCAACCACATCTACGACGAGCTGCATCCATGTAGGTGTTTGGTCACGTGTTCTTCTTCAAGTCACTCATGTAAAGAAATGAAACGCTTTTTTTGGATACATTCCAAACCTTCAGATGTGGAAGTACCCTCAATCCTTGATGATAACGAACCAACAAATGACCTGAAACCTACAGACGCTCCGCTTTTGGATTGTACAGCTAGAGGCAAATCAAGTGACATTGCAATTGCACCAATGCCTGCCTGTGATAATTCGGTAGGCTTTCTCAATACCAATTTGTTCAAATTTGTCCTTTTTTATTGCACATTTATACTACCAAGCTGTCTGTCTAAACTTCTACCCAAAATGCAGAAAATCATGACCTCTCATTTAAAACAATTACGTCCGCTGTCCATTTCACTGTTGGTTTATGCAACTGGGGTTAATTGCACGGTTGCTGTTGCTGCAGCATCGCGGAAAGTTTTGCTAGGTGACTTGTTACTACAACTAATTTGTTTGGAGGTTGTGTTTTGGAATGCCTTGTGTACATTGCATTGGGTGGGGGACGTTTGACTCCTTTAAGTGGCTCCAAAAGGAAAATGAGGATGGGGTTTTATGCATGCCTTGAGCACCTTTTGGTGAAGGTTAACTCCACTCTTCATCTTCTCAATTGAATGTGACGATGGTGACAGTGGGACGCAATGTCCACTCTAAATCTCCTTCCTCAATGCCATTATTGGGAGGAAATTAATGGTGTCCGAATCCGCACATGACTCGCTCTCCCTTTTAGACTATCGCTATTGATCAAGGTGATGCAGGATCCGGTTCCAATCCAGAAAAAGAGGTCAGTTTTTCGAGCAACATGCAGCACCACCACGACTTCTGCCTAAAGCACTTTCGTCTATTTCCAGGCTGCGAATGACACACTTCGAACTCGAGTGTGGGAGTGTCTGCGCAACAATGATCAGCTCTACCTCAACATCGTGACTTATGTTGTAAGTCTCTTTTCATCCGCCTCATGTTTTGCACGTGTTTCAGCCTTTGGAGTTGGACAGTGTCAAAGCGCATCTCCGTGACGCCGGTATAAACGTTGGTCTCCGACGCCTGACGGATATGCTTGACGGTTGGGTGCGTAACATTGCATTCACAGCTGTTGCATTAAAGGGTCTAATTGTTGCACACCTCCTCAACAAATTCACTCATTTAGGGCGTCACCTTTACGACGCGAAGTCGACACGCTCCCAGACCTGGATCCGATGTCTCCGACCCACGAGCAGCGAACTATTTGTGGTGAGTAAAAGCTGCTCGGTGTAAAATTTACCCCCTCAATGTGTAAATGCTGATACCAGTCTGTGCCCTTCCTTTCAAAATAAAAGCTTTCATCTCAAGAATGTGTTTGATTTGATAAAATTCGTCATACCTTTGCAGATGGGGTGTTTGACAGGTGGAATAAAGGACATAACTGACGGTGAAAAAAAGATCAGCTCTTGGAATGTCTACGATTGTGTATCACAGAAGTTAGGATTGTGTGCTCAACCCAGAATATCCATTATGTCGAGGTGGGAAAGGGTGGTGGCATTACTCTGAGCACTTTGTACCGGTGGACTGAGAGTCGGGGGAGCCTTGGGACGTCCGTACATTGTGCTGGTAGGAGGTAATTGATTATTTCCCTGACTAGAGAATAGACCTTCTCCATTCAATGATGTGTTGATGGGAGTAGAGTAGAAATTGTTAAGCGGTTGGGGAGACTTGAAACCGTCACTAATGCTACCAATGGAAGTGGAGGTGTTGGACATCGGTGTAAAGCCAGATCGGTTGACAGTTCGATTCCAATCAACGGAGAGATTTGAATTGATCAACAAGTCTAAAAGGATCGCATATGCCTCTTTAGGTGGTACCACAGAAGGCGGCAGGAGCAACTGAGTGTCAATCTCCTAACCCCTCTAAGTGCGACATTTGACACTGACAAACGATATACACCCAATGGGCCGGTGATCATGTTGAAAGAAGTCACATTTTGTGGTGCATACTGTAGGTGGATCATCTCAGCATTTCAAACGAGGAAGTCATGCATGGCATTATCCTATTAAGTCCATTCTTCAATGAAAATATCACAAAATCATCATTTTTTTGTAGGAAATTAGAAGTGGCACAACCTCAACCTAAAGGTATAGAAGTAGTCAAATCAAACAACTTGCCCGTCAGATCGGTAGGCGTAGGCTTAGGGCGCTGTGCTGGAGGCGCCTCAGGTTTTAGTATGCAGGGCTGCTGTTTCAGACGCTCCAATTGTTCCATGTCAGCGGTAGCACGTTTCTTTGCCTCCAAGCTTCGATACTGCTGTTGAGGCTGAAGTGAAAGCGTGAGTACCGAATTTTGCTCCCCCGTTGATACATTCTTGGCTTCACCCTCAGTAGTAGAAATCACGTGTTTGGGTGAAATACTCACACCGGCCAAAGCCATCATGATAGAATCAATCTAGGGACCAAAAATAGATAATAGCAGAAAAAAATAATTGTAAAGATTATATAGAAAAACTGCCTGCATCAACATTCATGCAGTCAGCAAGTAAGCAAAAGATGCAAACCTCACCATTTCAGAGGCCGTTCCATCCAAATTCAGCGATGGTGAGACCAACACTCTGGTGAAATGTGAAAAGTAAAAGAAATTTTAATCTCTCAATTGTTGGTGTACCACAGGAAAGTTTAAAATTGTCAGACTCCTCACGCAGCATCTTCACCAAGACTGTGCAATTCGATCAACTTGGCACGTTGCTCTGTCTCAATGGCGGTGAACATCTCCTTCACTAGGTCAGCAAATGCCACGTACTGCAACGGCGTGAGATTGTAGTCCATCGACAACTGCAGCAAATGCGGGATGGATTTGGAAGCAAGAAAGTCGCGAGAGATGCCCAATTTCTTATGACTAAAGGCTATCCGATAGATTGCTAACAATGAGAAAACACAAATAAACCCATTCAGTCGGACCACTTTGAGTTGGAAGTGCAGTTTGTCAATCACCACCTTTTGTGTTGGTAACTTAGTCTACTTTTCCAAGTACCTTGTCAGATGATCTAATGAATGTGACTAAAAACAAGGGATTCAGTTTTGCCTCAATCATCATTGCAATCTCGAAAAGCAGCAATACGCAAAGTGTTGTGTCACGGTTTTGGGAAATGCAAAACGCCAGAGACGCACCCAATACTGCAACAAGGATTTTTGGCTCTCGAGAGCGTATTTCCGTTAGGAATGTGAGAATGTCGTCCATAACGCTCCATCTGTCCAAATACTCAAGCAACTTAGCTATGCACACCAGTATCTCCAAGCGCATCTAAAAGAGCATGAAGAATAGGCTGGAAGGGAAGAGCAGACAATAGTGACGCAAAGAGCATTAAAAACAAACAAATGAAATTACATTGACAAGATCCACTCGTAGATACACCTTCTTGAGACGAGGCACAATGCTACTCTTCAAAACACTGAAGTCCATTAGTTGGGCCACCTCCGGTAGACTTCGTAGGCAAAGCTCCTACCAAGAGCCGAGAATCGCACACCAATCACACCAGCATAACAACATGTCTGGTCAAGAAGTTGCTTGAAAAATGAATTTGAGTATCCCTCCCCCCACAGGGTTAAGCATAAGCTCGCAGTGCACTACTTGATTCTCCATTAACACAGTGAGAGGAAAAGGCTAGCCTTGTAGAAGGTTCTATTGTTCAATAGTAGGTGCTTAGTTGTTCACGTCAAACAAAGAAATTATCACGTCAACTTTTAATAGGAGTTAACCCACCGACATGGTAATAACTTTTGCAGCGTCTCTTGATACACAAAGAAACTCATTTTACGTGAATGTCAGCCGTTATAAATAACAAAACATCATTTAGCCAGCATGACAATGTAACTTACAAGAATCGGAGTGGCATTTGAGTCGAGGGCGGAATTGAGGACAGGCAGCGCGTAGGTTTTGAAGTCACTAGGTGAGAGTTTAGCCACTAGGATGCCCAAATTTTGCAGCAACACTTGAACTACCTGTGAGAGCACGCCAAAATGGTCAAAATCACCATTTACTACTTGCACACAGCACAAATTCCATCAAAACAGTAGACATTAGAAGACAAACCTGAATGGGTTCATGGACAGCAAGGATATGCTTAAACCGTGGCATAATATAGATGGCGACATCTTCACGACTAACTATGTCGATTATTTGAAGGATCGAGGGTAGTACAAATGGTATCATACTCTTGTTTTGAAACTCCTGTGACAGTTGGGGAAAGACCCTGTGCAAGTTAATTCGCTATAAAAAGAAAAAAATTAGAGGGATGGAATAAAATTATACCTGTGGTAAGTTTTTGATAGAGTTAGGCAGATTTCTATAGAACTTCGATCTAGCCAGGTTATCCATCTGGTAGAGGTCATCAAGACTCTTCAAACACGCCACATTTGCGTCATCCAAGAAGGGCAGCTACAGTGAAAGGTGCAAAATAAGTAAACATGTTCCAGTAGGAAAATGGTTACTCACTTTCAAAATTTCATGTGCATCTGGTCGAATATCAATGTCCAGTTGTAGGAGCATCTTCACGTAATCTCGAATACCCAGTGGAACGTTAGCAAGGGCGTGTGGGGAAAGCGGCTTCAACTGTCAATGATTATTCAGAAGAGAAATTACGGTAATAGCAGTTTTGTACTACGTATGAATCCTTTAGCATGGAAATCGGAGTCACTAAACGACCAAAGGATGAAAATGGTAGGTAAAGTGGCAAACCTTACTAATGGTTTAAGAAAATGCATTTATATAAACTGAGGCTTAAATCCCTGCCATTACATAAAAGGCTGAAGTGTAAGAACAAAAATAAAAACATTCGTACCTTTTTAATAGCTTCTCGATAGGTGCCATAACACTCATGACAATCGAGAAGCGACACCCCATTGTTGTAAAGAGCATGAATTAACAGTCCCACGGCGAACATATCGCTAGCCGCATATCCCCTACCCTAAATAATAGAAGGCGTCTATCATCATCAGTATCCAATTCTCATTTGCCACCCTAATTATAAAGCAATACCATAAAGAGGCGTAAAAATAAATGTTATTAATCAGTCATGAAATGTGTGCACAAAGCGCAAACCAATGCACTCATAAACCTGATTTTTAAAAATTGTACAAGTACAATGTCACAAAATAATACAACTAAGTAGGTACTGAAGTGACTACAACGGATATTAACAGCTGGCACTGTTTACTGATGCAGTTAGAGCGCACCTATTTACTACCACATCAGTATGATTGACAGTACAAATTACAGTACAATTAAACATTTGCGCATGAGGTTTACAAACCACCTAATGCTAGTTGGAAAACATGCTTCAGTAACTGAACACCAAAGATCACAAAAGAAAAGTGGCGACGGCTAACAGTGTTAAGAGACGAACATCAATGGCGACTTCAGGGGCACAGAAGTCGAGGTGCGGTTGACAAAGCGAAGGGATGGAGGATTGCCAAGAGGAAATGTCAACACCGCCTCCCTCATTTCCTTCGCAGGCAAATTCAAACCCACAGAGCTTCCATGAACCAAGACGATTCACTACAATTGATTCCGGCGATACATTTAAATGGAATCGATGTCCTTCCCGGTGGATGAAAGCTAACGCCTCACAGATCTACACAAACAGCGTAACCATGACACTTTCTGAGAGCACATTTTAGGCATAATGTATTGCTCAATGTATTACCTGGATAACACCGTATTTCAATTCAGTTTCAGTAAACTTGAAATTATTCAGCCTTTCTGCGGTCACCCTAGCAAGATTAGTGACTTTTCCGAGGGCATTTGCCAAAGAGGTAAAGACAGGTTCAGTTGCAAATCCAAGGCTATCACGAGATTCTTCCAAAGGATGAACAACTGAGAGGATCCGAGGATGGCGAAAACGAGTCAGGGCTGCAACCCCTTTTTTCAACTTTTCAACAACAAGTTCTTTATCGCGCTTAGCGAAACGATCAAGTACTTTCTTTTCGAAGATCCATACTGTGGCAGCCTATTAAGAAGTGAGTGATTTTTGAGAAGAAAAGTAAACCTCTTTTGAAGTCCTTTTAGTTGACGAGAAAAGCTTCCATAAAAGACCAGGTCCAGAAGAGCCAACTTGTTCTTCAAGATCAAACTCTTTTGTGACTTGATTCCCGGGTAGGGCATTGGAGACAGTGTTCCGCAGTCTGCTTATGACACTATCCATTCCTGGTATAAGAGGAATGTGAGTAAGGCAAGTGCCAGCATAAGAAGTGGTGGCAAAACAATGACAAATCATAAATTGTGATACTGTTGACACCAAGAATACAAGAGTTAGATGCATTAAAGCCATCACGCACAAGGACAGATCATAAGTAGACATATGCTTATTTTAATGCAAATGACAGTCTTTCGTACAAGCAAAAAAGTTTGAACACTCAAACACCACAAAACTAAAGTTTCAGCAGCCAAAAAAGAGGGATTTTCAGACACCCAAGACTTCAAAACTCCTCAACACACCACACTCAAAAAAAGTTAATTTAGCCATAAGCAGCTTACAAAGAAGACGCGTTCTAGCATACATTATAAATCTCAAGGCCAATTTGTCCCTGCTTCCGCAGAAAGAAGTTTTTAAGATGAGGCACTGACAGTGCTTGAAATCTAGTGAAACAACCTTTATGTAAATATATTAAAAATAAAGATTGGATGGCACACACGAGTGGATGCTAAGTATCAATATATTTACACTTATAATCATATTAAATCCAAAATACAGGTAAAATTTTTTCAATGTTTTAAGACAGCAGCAAGTGCCTATTACAGCTGCAGTGTCCGCTACAACGGACATCTGTACAATGAGCAGATGACTGTCAATATCAACATGCAATGGATGAATTACATTTCTGAAGTTTTCGCCTTTACTTCTTCTAGTTAACTTTCCACCACCAACCTTGTAGCGTTTTGAGAATTCCCATAGGGTGAAAGAAAGCATAAGTGAGGTTGAATACATGTATTCCGAAGTCGATAGGAAAAATGAGTCTGAGTATGGCTCGCAGGTCAGCCCACGTGTACAAGGGTCAGACAAATCCTAAGGTGACGGTTAAACGTCAGGTAGTCACATAGACAAAGCATTACAATACCCCTCTCCTCTTTTCAGCGATGTCCTCGGCATTTCTCTTTCGTACACCTCCGCGCCAGCCATCGCAACATATTCGGTACTATATGAATGCACCCACGAGCCAGCAGCGCCAGTCGGCAGATAGCACGAGACTGAGGAACCATACGTGGTCTCCTCGACAGCTTCAACTGGATCTGGAGTTACGTTCGTCCTGACAACCACATTCGTTGCCACATACACCTGTTGACCATCAATTGCTTCTAGGAATAGACGGTGGAACTCTGGTATAAAACATATATGTTAAAGGGGAAACGGGATGAACCACTGTCCCGTATGTAAGGAGAACTTAGTGCCATTTCTGACACCTAATCACGGATTTTGTAAGGGAAATTCCGACACGAAACTGTTCCAGATATTTTGTGGCGGTGTCGCTTCAGTTGTTAATAGCTTGTCTGTGGAACATGGGAATAGGGCGAAGCCAAACGCAGACGTCAGCCTAAACCCTTTCATTGTGAAGAATTCAGAGGCTCTCTCGCCAGCGCCTCCTCCACACCCGACGTACATGCAGCAAACTTTATATGCTAGGATAGAAGTCGTTAGAAAAATGTCGGATTCGCTTTCTGCTGCAACCAGTGTAGTGTTCCGAGACTTCCCACCGGGTGGAAGGAGGCAGTAAGTAGAGCGGGATACACGTATTCCAAGGGGAACAAAGGAGTTAGAGCTGAGCTCGACCCAAAGGCCAACCCACACGTACAAGGGCCAGACGAATCTCAAATCAACCGTAAGATATAAGGTGGTCACATAAACGAAGTATTACAAATAGTTCAGCTCTTCTTTTGAATGGCATTCCCTTCACTTTCCACGCCAATCTCCAAAGCGCAATCAATGCTGAAGTAATTCAGTGAGATAAGACGTTGGCCCTCAGTGTAAGATGAGATTCGTAAGAAAAGCATAAAATTTACTATATTTCGACGTAGACAAGGTGTCGCACAATCTCTCATTGTTAAATCCACGTAATAGGCAT